ATGTTCAATGGAGTTGGTACGGTGTTGTTTTTATCAAAATACGAATTTCAGTCGTTCCCGGTCTCCATCTCGTCGTCATTCTCAAATCTTCTCGACGATGAACCACCGTTCTCACCGTCAAATGACATCAATCTCATCGACCTCGGCCACTGTGATGATTTCTTCGGTCCGGACTCGATCATGGCTGATGACACGCATTCGTCGTCATGGAGGTTATCTAGGTAGCACCAACTATCCCTTAAGCTTCACTTCCTCATCAGTATACGCAGATATTTTCCATGGATCAGTACAACAGTTTAGAAGAAGTCTGCTGAACATAGCTATTCTCTATTGATTTTTTCTTTGATTTTACTTACTTAACATATTCACTATAAGACATTACTGACCGGGTATTTGAATTTTGTCGAATGACCGTTGTTGTGTCGCTAATAATTTTCATGTCTCAATGATTAAGAATGACATATATCGCGATGACAAAGAAACCGTTGAGATTCAAAAATGTGATTTTTAATATAACCCGTTACCACTTGATCTAAAACGCGCGCCTGATTTATTGCCTATTTTCCTATCAATAGCTGAAACGTTGACCCCGGTGCATCGGCAGCGCCTTACAGGCCCAACATGCGATTGTCTAGTTGTGGTGAGTTCCCCCGAAAATGAAAGCTGATGGAAGTCGGCCGACCACTCACGAAAAGAGCAAAAGACACTGCTAAAGACCTTTGAAAGCACATCAACGCTGATCATGTGAGCGCAGACCACTCGCTCCTTCATATTTTCCGCTCTTTCCCTCGGTACAAAAAGAGGAGGGGGCCGACCAATGGGAAGTTGCATCTTTCCACGCCCACAAATGTCGTCAGCTACCATAGTCTGGGTCCTCTAAGGTGTACTCATCGAAAAATGCGTTTTTCTTTCTTGTAGCTGAGCAATAAAACATTGCACTTCTCCAGTGGGCTCATAATTCCCTCATTTTCGGCCAATTTTCAGGATGTGTAATACTGTCATCCTCACCGTCGTAGTGCTGAGCAGAATGCGAGCACAGGACAGCTAGTGCTAGCCTCATTTTTGCCATTATTGCCCTCAACGACATCGCACAGGTCTTTTCTCCAAGCCGTCTCCGTAACTTTACTCAACACGCGCCTTATGCGCGCCACCTGTGCGTCTTCTATACCCCGCTCTCTGCCCATATATTCAGCGTGCAATGTGCTTTCAAGGGTCATTAGCAGCTTCATTTACTCTCTTCACAGCCTTCTGACTACCACGTCTGCTTCCTTTTCGGGCTTAGCATCCCACGCCCAGACAATCACGGATGATGCCTTTTAAGTGAATTTACAGTTCATCCTCACTGAACGAGTTTTTCTCATCTGGGCCTCGCTACAAGATCTCGGCTCAGAGGACTTATATTGATACAAATCGGGTTGAATCGCCGTGGGAATCCACGACCGACTCAATTTTGGCCTACGGTGAAGAGCCAATACGCTTCACAAGGGATAAACCTTGGGCAGATCAGTCATTTTCTCGCCACAGACTGGCTTCGGCTTCCATTTAGAATTGTAGTGGCGATCAAATGCAATTCTAACTTCAAACGGATGTGTGGAACAACCTGAGAAAAGCTCAGGGCCCTTAGAGCCTATCCCTCCACCTCTAAATGGACCTGGATTATAATGGGAAAAATTAAAATGAATTGTTGATATCCGTCTATTCTCCCATGTTTTGAGAGATCAGAGTATTTCGTAAATTCTTGGTAACTTTATGTTCGAATTCAGGATCTGCCAGGATTGTGAAGTTTTTCCCTCTCTCTGTGCCAGCGCTTAGTAAGCGTAGCGCTAGGAATCAGAATCATCGTAGCCTAATCGGGTCTTACTAAGTTGCCGCTTTGCAAGTACGATACCGCCTTGTCGCCCACCCAACCGCCTCCTCCCCCCCCCCCTACGCACTCTAGTCTCACTGAATCTTTGATCCATTGCGGATGAACTGTAAACTCACACCTATGTCAACCAGACCAAACAAAGCTGATATTTGCCACCCTATACCATGTTTGGGAAGAATATAATGTGTGTGGCTTGGAACGTGTGGGAGACCTCACGCCAACTTCGGCGCGTTTACGATTCAACAAATTTAATTGGGTGATAAAATCTCTCAAACCCGACAAATCGCACGTTTTACATTGTTTTTTGTGTTTATTACTTGATGTTTATATGTGTGTATTCAATTATCTGGTTCTCGCTCTCTACCTTTTTCTGCCTCATGGCATGACAGGAGAGAATAAGCAGATGGCTTTCCAGAATGAGGGCAGGTCTAGGCACACTTGCCTTTCGTTGCTTGTTACCGTCGCCTCTCATATATTAGGTGTTCGTAGATTTTATGATAGATTGTTTAGAGTATCATTTAGAACTGCCTCATTGAATGACATTGCTTGGATTCGACATGTAACAATGTAATATTTATTTTCGACGTTTTCACACACATGAAGAAGATAGGATATTGATTGATATAGCAATGGAATCATTCTTTTTGGCTCGCACACCGCTTATATCAAGTGAGTTAAATATTCAGTACAGGAGACTGGAAACGAATCGTGCTTTTTGTGAGAGCAAAAATGGTTCCACTAGGAAGAGGTGGAGTAAGGAGTGGATGAAGAAAGAAACAAAGACAGGTGCAGCACATCCAGATCTGAGCGGGTTACTTAAACGCTTGAACCAGAGATATACAAAGACTACAAGAGTAGTGGAGCTGTCGAGACTTGAAGCTGCCTTACAAGTGAAGTATTGCCTTACTAGGAGGTCGTTCAAGGGACGTAGTTATAGAGGTGCCAGGTATGAATGACCAGAAGCCGAATATCTCCCATTTTTCCTGCCGACATGTTGAATACCCCCCCCCCCCCCAAGCCCCTAAAGAAAGCAAACTAAAAACTCGTTGGAGGTGTGTCATTTTTGCAGTTAAATTGTGCTTGCGGGCTTTATATGCAAAAACGTGTCACCGCGAGGTACCTCACCTTCGGAACCACTTGTACTCCGAGTTGTCTTGGACTCGAAGGGCCGTTCAGGAAAAAATTGAGCCACTGTGTGTCCCATTCCACGAGCCATCCCTACAAGTATGCAACAAAACGCAATTCGCCAGAGAAAGCGCTCCACGGCCTGAACGCGCCCCTTGATCAGCTTTATTGCTAGCGATCGCTGCAACCGCTCTGCTATTCTTTTCCAACTAACACAGAACCCCATGCTGCCCGACTTCTCGCTTTTGGGGGAGGAACTCAAAACTTCCGAGAATGTTGGCGAGGGGGATGAAGCTGCTGATTTCCAATCCATGCTTCGTATTCGTTATATTAAATGTTTACAAAACGTGAAGCATGCGGTCAGCGTTATCCAACGCGCTGTCGAGAGGACGATGCTAGGAGTAACCCTATACACGCAAGTGCAGAGGGGAATCCGGAGTGCCGAACTACGCCAACGATCGAAGATCAGGGACGCTGCCGTTTTCGCCAAGGAATCGAAGATAAGGTGGGCCGGACACGTCATGCGATTTTGCGATGACCGTTGGACCAGAGCGGTTACCGACTGGATCCCTCGGGACGTCAAACGAACACCTGGACGACCGCCGGCCCGATGGTCAGACTTCTTCACGAAAGCTCTGAACGAAAGGAATGAAGGACATCGTGTCCCTCGAGCGAGGAGGGTCCACTGGACAACTCTTGCACGCGACAGGGACGAATGGAGACGTTGCTGGCGCCCGCTCGAGCAATTCGATGATCAACGGGACGACAGGTGATACAGGTGATACAGTGAGTTTTACAAAGAGAGTCGTTGACACTTTCTGACTACCTCAAAAGAAAATTCCTCTACAAGAAAATTTACGTGACAGGAAGATTACACTTTAATATATAACTCGATTATTCATATTTAAGACTGCTCTAAATCGCAGAACTGAAAGTGTCCATCGTTCAGGCAGCATTTGCTCAGCAACTATCCCGTCTTCTGAAAGCGACCCACTACTATACCTAACTGTTGAACATTTCGCATCACTTGATAGCGTGACACCCACATGCTAATAATCAGTAAAGCTCATAAAATGTGAATTCGACCACTTGACATATATGGTGGTGCAAGTGGCATTCGCATTGATCATCAAAATAGTGAATTGTGGAATACAGTGCCGATTTGAAAAAAGCCCCTGCTAATATGATAAAAAAATCACGGTGAATTACTTCATTCAGAAATTCTCCTACATGTGAGGCCGTGAAAACTTTATTGTGCTCTTACCATGATTTCAAGGCGATCACAAAAGAAAATATCCACAGTATAAACCGATGTGTCCACGATGACGTACTTCTTTACTAAGTTGTTGAACAGGAAGGATTAGCGGGTTGTGACATGAAATGGACCACCGTCAGGCAGCTCCTCTCCCTGGCCGTTCGTAACAGTTGTATGACCGTCAATCGTTTTGTAGGTGTAAGTTTCGTCGTTGACTGTGATCTTGAACTGCCTCTGTGATTCCCGGTCCATTTGGGCACGAGGTCGTCATGGTCGAGATGGAGCTGCCTCCCGGAAAAGTGGCTGTGTATTGCTTTCCCACCGATGGTCGCCGTGACCGTCGTGACTCCGTTCGATCGTAGATATAGTTGTTCCACCAATACCACCACCACCAAATGCCTTCATACTCTCGTTAATAGCTTTTTCAATATGCTGAGTTATGTTTTCTAGCCAATAGGGACCAAACCATCCGCCCTGAAAAAATAGTCATTACTGATGTCGAATATTGCAGTATGGGGGTACACGACAGGAGGCCCGTCGCTCAGAAGGCAGAGTCAGCGGACGAGTCGCAACGCTTACTGTACTGATTTATAAGAAATAAGTATACATAGTTCGCAACAGAATGTACCAATGCACGTCCTACATCACACATCACCCTTGTGACTCGTCCACTAACTCCGCCTCCTCACCGCGCGACTGGCCTCCTGTCGGGGACCCTCGAAGGCAGGTCTGGAGAGGCGGAGCGTCGGTGACGTCGTTGGGCAGACTGGTGATTGGATGCGGGCTCACTGCGCCACCCCATGCGCTGAGCCGGCTCTCAACCGCTGACACACCCATGACGTCACAGAACCCCACGCCCTCGCAATTGTGTCTTCTGCATATAACTCTTTAATTCATGTCATCATTTCCATTATTTGGTAAGGCCGCGTTCATAGTTCGCGACTCCGGAGATTAGGATAGTACGCGACAATGAAAAACATATGTATTGACGGGGAGATTAGGATAGTAGTAGATTAGGATAGTAGTAGAGTAGGAGATTGCGCTGACAAGATTAGATACGTATCGATTGAAATCGCCGGAGAGTAGTAGATTGCGATATTACGATAGTAGGATAGTAGTAGAGTAGGAGATTAGGATAGTAGTAGATTAGGATAGTGCGCTGACAAGATTAGATATGTATTGATCTATTCGCTTGAAGTCGCCCAATCTACTACTCTCCAGCGATTTCAATCGATACGTATCCAATCTTGTCAGCGCAATCTCCTACTCTACTACTATCCTAATATCCTGTCGCCTACTATCCTAATCTCCCGAGTCGCGAACTATGAACGCGGCCTAAGGGGCTCGCTTCTACCGAAGCCACTTAGATTTGTAGAAAATAGGCCGGCACCACCCGAATTTTTCCGAGTACAACCTATCTAACGGGTATTCACTTCACCGTTTATCGCATTGTACGTACACCGAGTACCCTTGGTAGTCTCCCTCGTGAATTTGACTGGTTAAACTGAAGCGTGGTCGTAAATGTTGCCATAATGTTTAAACATGAAACACGATTCAGCGAAGAGCTTGAGTCAGTACTATTAGAAAAGATCGGTAATATTGGTAAACATTTCTATCACCAGTTCCGGCCAGTTTTTTCTTGAAACCCAGTGGGATGAGCTTGTCACCATGTTTATGCCAAGGCTGTATTGAAGAGGCCCGTCAAAAACTGGAGGAAAGATCGGTAAACATTCGGATACTACCCGCTACGGAAACCCACCGAGAATGGATTCCACTGATTGAAGAATGGATTGAGCGCATTGAACGGATTATAACCATTGCTCTGAAAAACGTTTAAAAAGCTGAATCCTGCTCAGAATGCATAAAATCGAGGAACAATAATAATGATCAGTTCTAGTCCTAGTTCCAGACACGAGCCGCTTCTCAATGGTTAACTACTCCTGACTGAATTTTCATATGATACTATTTGCTTTTTCTGGTTACCTCAGCGGCTCAATACTGGTATTTGACAAGACACTCCGCAACTAGTTCACAGCCACGACGCGTCTTTTTGGAGCAGCAGCCCGACGGATTTCAGCGCGTCCTCCTAGAATAAGGTAGCTGGCCTTGCAATTCGCAGAATAGGGCCACTCAATTTAGAGAAAAATTGTTTAATCAGAATGAGCACCCGAAGTAAGCGTAAATTACGATATTCCTGCCGTGTGGGTGCTCGCTCTGTCCAAACGGTTTAAGTCCTTAGTCTAACAAGTAAGGCCGATGCTGTAGGGGGCCAGGCGAGTAAAGGCTGCCAATTCGTCGCCGAGCTCCGGCCTTTGGCCGCCTCTTGGCTCCGCCCATCGTGTGTTTGTAGTAGTATCATTGTACTTATCATTGGAGATAAGATATTCCTTTTCCGAGTGTGCATCCTATAACCTCCCATGGAATACGCGGAGGTCAGCAGGCAAAGACCAGAGCTCTCATTTAGCGCGTTCTAGACAGATTTCTTTGCTTTCTTCGCCACTGGGACATTTTTCAGCCACTTCCACTATGAACCCAGCCCAATCTTCTCGTAGGGATCTCTTGTTGCTTGGGGAGACACTGAAGTGAGTGAGTCGCTTACGGAACTTAAGACTAAACCTTAGGGAGGGTAAGTGGTTCTGCGAGGAGGAAGTGAGCAACCTTTGATCCCCTTGGCATTTCTCCCCTCTCCTGAGCCAACTCTTAGTATCACCCACCAGCGGTTACTAGTTAATTTGTCTGAATGTACCCCCTAAAATCATAAGAGGCTTAAAGGCAAACTCCGGGATTAAACAGGTGCTATCAGCGCTTTGTGGTGATAGCTTAGCTGCGGAACGACCTGAAAGTGGAAAGGAAAGCAAGAGAAATCCTTGGGAACGCTGCAATTAAGGCCTTAACCTTCAGTAGGGTAGAATGTGGTACGATGGCGAGAAAGGGTGGTCAAAGAAGGCAAAATACGCGAGAGAGCACGTCGTTTGAGAGAGCACACTGATCTCTACATCAATGCACGCTGATCTCACCACCTCTCGCGGCGGGTAGGATGCGTTGGAAAGGGAGTCGATGGTTGCGGGCCCGTAAGGATTAGCGCCCTAACCGCGCAGTTTTTGCGACGAAGCTGAAGCGATCCAGTTACGTACGGGCCTTAACCATTTCGCCACGGGGGCGTGGATCCCTCTACTAGCCGGCTAGTCCGGGGTTTGGCCTTTAAAGAAGTCTATAACGTTTTTGCTGGCAAATCTATGCCTACTGAAATGAAGATTAACTGCCAGCTCACAAACAGTAAAGATACTGCTGCTTGAACCTGGGTTGAGCGCTGAGATGAGGAGTCAGAGAGATTAAATCTATCTGGAAACTTTTACACTTCATGAGCAGCATCACTTCAGATTATATATTTTTATCAGATTAAAAGACTCATGCATTTCGCTGTCTGGCACAGTAATACAAACAACACTACAGACACCGCAGCACTCAATAGCGCCAATGACTAAGGATACTATGTGGTACACCCCTTCCTGCAAACGGCTTGAAGGTATTTCGGGAAGCTACGGGAAAAATGCTAGATCTTTATGGACTGCATAGAAATGCTGTATAACCGCGGATGTGGGCAAGTTTGTACGGCGAAAGTGGTGTAGTGGCAAGTGAATGCATATTGTGCGCATGATACGGGGATCGAATCCTGAATTCAGCGCGTCGTACGACTCATGAATTTCCCAGCATCATGGTCACGTTTCAGCTTCAACACGCGCATACACACAACTATTAAATTTCGTTGTAAAAAAACGTCGAGCATTCCAGGAGTGCTGAGTTATTGGCGAAGCTCTTTGTCGCAGGCAGCAATCGAACCCCGTCCTTTTTGGCTACATCACTTGGGCTTACATAAAAGATTTTAATTATTATGTTCCCACTGCTTGCTAGCGCTGGAGTACGATGATTTTTATGTGCGAAGTTTTCTCAGGGCTGAATTCGGAACAATCGCAACATGGTAAAAAAACGTCGGCCATTTTGTTTAGGTGGTGGCCGCAATAGCTAATTAAGAAGTGATTAAGATATCGTCCCTCACGGAATATATATTGGTGACGTGCATTGTTCCTATCCATGAGCTACTGTAATCCTCTACCAAAAGTACTTGTTGGTAGGGCGGTACAGGCAAATTAAACATATGACTCATCCCTCGAAAGGATAAAATCCAAACAATGAAGCAAAAAAAAAACATTCTCCTGATACAAATATACGGCTACTAGCTGATTTAACTCATATGTTTGAAACTTCCCTTCTCGCTGTACTTCTAGCAGATGTTGGCCACCGGCTGTCACAGTTAGAATGAAAGCACTGTAACACTTTAAGAATTGCAATCAAACCCGATAATCACACGATATGCTCGGTGGAGATGCGCTCGAATCTGCTTGCCGCTCCACGAACGTTTCTGCAGCCACGCCTCCACAAGGCAGAAAAGAACGTGTTGGGGTGGTCCCGTGCTCATCGTGGTTTCAATTCTTGACGGGTTTTTTCTTCTCAGCAACCTAAAATGGAAGGAGTTTTGACATTCATTTTATTACCGTATCCTTCGAAGGTCACGGGTCATTTCGGAACGCGAAAAGGTTTGGCTGTTCCTACCAAAACGATCAGCACGGAATGCGCCTTCAAACAAGGCTCGGGATAAATGTATCGTGTGAAAATGGCCAAACTATGATCCTAGGGGTGAGTTTGAGCCCGGAAAAGAGATAAATGTAAATACAACCCGCTTACGCTCCCAGCGAAGGCAATTCTTTTTCATTCCTACCATCCTCGAATGGAGAATTGTGCTTCCCGGACGGATTTCACGAACGGCTGCTCCTTTTTTTTTTTTATTTTTTTTTTGCGCTTTCATGCTAGCAATCGATACGGTCACTGACTTTCCAGAATAGAAGGTTGATTTTCAAATCATTTCTTTTTGAATTTATTTTAGCTGCATTTTGATAATTATCCCTACCCCAATAAACTTTTAAGAGCGCGGACACCGAGCCGCAGCTGCGGAGCGTTAACAATGAGCAGCAACTGCTCTTGGAGCATAAGTTTAGCAGCCGACAACGGAATGGAAGAGGGGGTTTGCGGATAGAAATGCGAATTGATCAAGCGCACTTCTAGCGCCTTTTTCGCTCACTTTCAAACCGCAATGTACATCAAAGCCAACGAACCGATCTCCGAAGCTTGTCGCGCTGCCGAGGATGGAACAAATGAGCGTGCTTGAGCACGCTCCTAATCAGCATCTCGTACCATATCCTCAAAAATCTCCTTCAAAAATATCGTGATTCTACCTCACCCATAATTCATTGGCTTGGGACCCATCGTTCACGAAAAGATCGAGAAGAACAAGAAAACTGCACTTGTTTCGACAACAAAAAAATTGAGAAACCGAAAGGGCTGCTATGCGTTCAAAGTACCGCCGGACATCCGTCACAAATGCTGTCAACGGGAATGTTTCCATTAAGTTCTCTTGCGATTAGTGCTACCACTACTAGGCTCTTTCTAGCCGCCCTATTCTATCGATCGATTTGTCTCTACTCTCCAAAATCGCGCGCTTTAACCCGATTCTTTCATTGCGTCGCCTGATACGTAGCCGCCCCAAGGCGGACTTCTTTCCATGCCCCCTTTGGCTCCGCGCCTTTACCTTCGATTGTCCATAGAGTGTGGTTTTGTAAGTTTGTTTCTCTTCGGAAACTGAATCTTTGTGCGTGAAACTTTGTATGTTGTCTCTAGTGATCACAACTGACATATGCGTGTTGGGAAAGAATGCAAGATTTTTCCGGAAGGATTTCTTCAAGTGTACAGTGTACATCCGTAGCTCATACTTTTACTTAGTCAATGCCAGGCGGATAAGCCTTAGTAACAAAGGCGTCTAGAACTTGGGTAGTGCAGTGTAGTTGAGAATCAAAAAATTAACACATTGACGACAACGCGAGTTTTGGCTTTTTTGGCCACGTGGGACCGCGGCGATTTTGCGGGCGCGCTCGCCTCAGGTCGTTCAAGCAGATTTTGAGTGATAAATACACAACTAATGATCAATTCAAAACCAAATCAGTAAATTGTAATGAGCGCAACCTACCAGGGGTACAGTAGTGGAATTTCGATCGAAAGACATGGAATAACAATGAAAAAGCGAAATTTTCAGAACTAGCTGCAATGGACCTCAAAAGCAATTTTACGTTGATTATTTCAATCAAAACACACATATTGTCATCCCTAAGGTTCCGTATCTACTTCTACTACTATTTAAATCTTCACATTCATAAAAAGAAAAAGTAAACGAAAAATTTATTGAAATGAAGATTTCGTATGGTTCAGAAATCCTCCTCTAAATTAAAGCATACGTGACCATTCTAAGGGCCACTATGTTTGTAGCTACGTCAAGGTCTCTTCCATGGAATGAATACAAGAAACTTCTAAAAGAATCAGGCGTGTGCGATAAAAATGAGTGTAATGGGTGCGGGGGATATATATCCCGCACGGTCCGACATGGCCTGCAATGCTACAGTGCGTTCAAAAGTATAAAGCCACCCTTGAATGAAGCTGTTCCAAGTTAGAATGAAGGTTCCGTGATTTGATGAATAGTTTATCGAATTCAGCACGCTCTGAAACTATAGTAAACTTTGTTGTACAAACCACTATAAGCTAGAAACGGTTCCATAAGAAAATTTGAAAAACTCCCCTGTTTCAAAAGTATAAAGCCACCCCGGGCGAGTAGGCAACAGCGGTAAAAATTTTTGTTCCTGTTAACTCATTTGGAGTTCTTTGGCCATAATTAGCACAAACACATTACGTCTTCAATATATCTCGTGGATCTACGTTTTCTTTGGAAGAGCAAGTTCGTGCGAGGACGTTACATCGAGCTGCCCATTCAAATCGCTCCATTGCTGCTCAACTTGGACGTTCTCAAAGCTGTATCGACATTTCTTTTGAGGAATCCAGCTTATCATGAAAGGAAAGATCCCTGAAAGGTCACGTGTTCTGCTTGAGTATTATATCCGCCATATTAAACGATCCCTTTCCAATTCTACTGCGACCATCAGTCAGATCCGATACGAGCTCTCCCTTTTTGCTTCGAAAAGTTCCATCTGGAGGGTCGCTAACTCTGCTCCAAATATCGTGCGACAATCCATGATGAAGACTCCACGTCCGGAACAGCATCACAAAGCACCTCGTCTCGAACTCGCCCGGAGGAACATGCGAACGAGTTGGGGTTCGGTAGGTGATTCTACGGGGGTAGGGAGACACTTTCATCATGACGTTTAGTTAATGGCTTGTAGTGTTCATCATTTTTCTGTGTTGAAAAACTTCAACCTTAAGACGCCGGAGCCACAACAGATTCAGAGAGATTTTACGCAAATATCCCTCGTAATTGAAGCAGCAGGAGAAACTTCGGTGGTGGCGCATAGATGGTCTGAGCTGCATTCTACAGCGATGCTGTGCTCCCTCTGTCTTTCGTCTCGTGTCAAATGGACCCCAGTGAGAATCAGGATGCTTTTCTTAATGATCTTCTCTCGTTTCTGTGTGGAAGTCGTCGGCAAAACTTCATCTTTATGCACGATTACGCCACCATCCATCGCAGCCGGTCCACTCAACACCGGGTTTACGTCAACAAAATCAGTGTACTGGAATGGCCTGCTAGCAGCCTAGATCCAAATCCAATAAAAAACACCTGGGGTATCATTGTCCGACAGATATACGCGTATGGAAAGCAGTACAGTAACGTGGGAGAGCCTCCTCAGACAGCCATCGAGACGTTTTCCTACCACCTGAATCCCGCTATACTTCTGAAGCTCACGGATAGTATGCCAAATGGTCTATTAAATCTCACTTCTAAAAAAGGAAGTCACGCTAGTTACTAATATTTACGATGTTCACTTTTTCTCTGGAAAAATAGAGTTATGTTGCAAGTGGCTTTATACTTTTGAAACAGGGGATATTTGGAAATCTTCTTATAAAAATGTATGTGAATCATTTTGCTTTCCTGAAATAAAGAGAACAATGGTTTCCAAACACGCTGAATTCAATAAAGTTTATGGCAAGCCATGAAATACTCACCTTAACTCGGAAAGTTAGTTTTCATGGGTGGCTTTATACTTTTGAAACGCACTGTAGATACCCAGCCGCGTCCGCATGGCTGATATCGCGGAAATATATAACCCACTTTGTCGTCGATCGATGAACACCCAGACCGTGAGAGCACTCACCTGAACCCTATCTCATATGCAATACAGTGACAACCTATACTGACTGGAATTCTAATTAACAACAGCCCAGCACCTGTAGAACACCACTCTTGTTAATCTGATGTTCTCCAGCCACCAGACTTCTGCAGTGTACCGCAAGCTCTACCCTTTAGTGCGATTTCGTATTCCCAAACTGAGTGCAGCTGCGCATCTAACTACCCATTTCTCACTGTTTGACCGATTATCGAGCCTTCATTGCAAACACGTATCGTCGAATTTATTTTTATCCTCGGCATTTACGTCATTTCTGGAAGCGTTTCGAGTTCCAATCTGATATTCAACCAAAACTAATCTACGGAAACAGGTTCACAATAATTACTTGCCAGAATCGCACTGCAAAAAAGTCATTGATTGCCAAGCAGATGCCATAACCCAAAATGGGCTCATCAATCGTATTCAGTGTATTTAATGACCTTATGAATCACCTATCATCGATTTCAGTACCAAAATGACGGTATAAATGTTCATGCTGGATCAACCTGACATTTTGGCATGGAAATGTTTCACGCTACAGTACTTTCACTAGTTTTCTTGATCTCCTCTCGCGCTCTAGCACAGGTTTGTATACTTTTCTACATCGAGGAGGAATTCAAACTAACTGCTCATGTACAACTACCTAACTAACTATACAAGCCTGCGTCTGATCGTCGTCGCTGTCGTTCTGTCCGTCTGTCGTCTTCGCTGTCTGGTGCTGTTCACGCAAATTCCTTAACGCTCCGTGAAATCGCGCCTGGAGGACCCAAACCAGCGTCTAAGTGTGGAAATGGAGCACAACGTTCTCACGAAATACAATACACATCCTCATCTAAACTGACCACCCGCACATCAGAGGCGTGGCGCTCGCGTCCGAAATTACACTGTACGAATACCAAGACTCTTCGCAATTCAGGACAAAGCGACCTCGAAACTAGAAGCCAAACACGTGAGTAAAGGTTATAGTGATGGAAGTGCAAGCCACCGTCATCGGTGGGCGGTGGCTGGGATCCAAAAGGCGATTTGGCGACGAAAAAATTATAATCGCTCCCAAGCCAATCAGAGGCCGAAAAAGGGATAGTGTGAGATGACTAAATACGATATCGGCGGAGCATAATTCAACAGTGGCGGATACACGAAAATCATGACCTCGATCCAAGGAACCCGGAGACCGGGCAAAAAGGGTGCATTGCGGTCGTGAAGAGTAACGCTACCAAAATATGGCCGGCCGGAGCAGGTCCATAGTGGACGATTTACCCGTAACATATTCATCCGCTTGTCAAGAAGTCCTGAGAACGGAGAAAAAAGTGGATAATAGTATCACAACTAAAGAAAGGAGATTAACTGGCTGCGGTCGTAGCGGCGCAATCTGGGGGGGGGCGGAACGTTTGCGCCGAAATGTAATCGGCTCCCGAGAAGTTTCTCAAGGAAGCCGGAAAAGGTGATGAGTGGTGAAGGAGTGGAGGCCAGTGTCATCGGTGGGCGGGATTTGATCAAAGTGGGCGGAGTTTGTGGCGCAAATTCATTACTGGCTCCAAGAAGTCCCGGTGGGAGTAGAGGTCGGCAAAGGAAAGGAGGTCAACTGCTATCAGTGGACGAAGCACGCACCTAAGTGGGCGGAAGTTTGCCACGAGATTTATTGTCCGGAAGCAGTCCGGAGACCGGGAAAAAGAGAATAATGGTTGACGAAGAAAAAAGAGGTTGAAAGCCGTCGATGATGGAGCGGATAGAATTTAGCTGAGAATTCAGATATTCGTGGTGTATCAAGCCCAAATTTGAAAATTTTCGTCGCACCATCAAATTCGCCGCAGATCTGTGTTGCGCGCGCAATGCGTGCGGCGCGCCCCAACTGTGAATCGCTAAAAGGCAGGTTTATCAATGCATATCACTTTTTTAACTCACAAAGCCAAGTTCAATATTGAAGACACAGCTCCCTTCATAATAAGCGCCTTATTGCGGTGCTTATCAAGACCCAAGCCAAAACACTCCAATTGGCCTCACAATGTGGACAATAAACAAAGCCAAAATTTGTCTGATTATTTTACATTTTCCAATGGTTTTCTAATTTCTTGCCTCATTTCCGGTAGCCCGTAAATCACAAATATCTTCACTAATAAATTAATTCTGCAAGTCATCAATGTCGATTCATTTTGAACAATAAATAAAAAAAATACACGAAGTACCTCTACAACGGACGTCCACAAATGCCTTGGTATCATTACGCTACCCGGCTTAAAGCAGAGTGGACCTCTTGCGAAGAAAAAAAAGAGAACAAAGTGAATATGAACCCGAAAGCTCCTTTTTGTTGGGTGCGGACGAGTACGTGAAGAGCTGGGTGTAGGGAAGAGAGAGCATAGGGACGAGTGAGACACAGACGTCAACACATTCACAATGGTGAGTTTGCGTCGATGCAAGCCGCTACCGACAAACGACCTTACCAATCTTCCTTAAGAATGGCATTACCTCTGCACATGCAAACTTAGCTACCTAACTCATAGAAGAGTTTGTTCTGACGTATTGGCAATAGTGGAATGTGTTTCTGCGATACGAAAAACTATGCATATTCCAGCTTCCTGTTTCTGATAACAGTCCTCCGTCATATGCACTACAATTAATTATTTAGGACTTCGATTTCCCAGTCAGTCCACCTAGTTTGAACATAAACCCATTTGGAGATGGTTTTCAGGTAAGTTCTATCGGCTTGAAAGTATCGGTCAAAGGAAGTATACTTTGCAGTAGAAATTCGCTTTTCGCATTTCTCTCAAACTATGATTTTTTACTAATTTTCAGGGCGGGGTGTTCAAGCCGAATTGGGCCCCAGACTTGAAAATTAATTTTCAGGGCGGGGTGTTCAAGCCGAATTGGGCCCCAGACTTGACTTCCACAAAGGAAGGATACTCAATACGTCTAGTTTCCGTCTAAGGGCATGTGCGAAACGGAAACTAGACTACCTTGTTATCCAGACCCCTTATAAATTATACATTTATATTTACAAACTTAATCATTAAAATTTAAATTACTAAATTATTGAATACAAAACTCTTTTGTAAAGTCTACATTTCTGTTTGAATCAAGAGATTCAGAATAGCGATGGCGGTCTGTCGGCGCTCGACAATTCGATGGCAGATATCTCAGCGTCAAATGGCGTCACGACGGTTTCTGCCACGATCGGTGGAAAACGTTATACGGCCACTTTTCCAGGAGAGAACAACTCGATCGCTACAGAAACGAGTATCGAAAATGTCAATGGGCAATCTACAGAAGTATTCACTATTACTGTGAATGATGAAACCTACACCTATAAGACGGCCGACGGTCGCACGACTGTCACCAAT